GGGGGAAGGGGAGGAAACAAGCATAAAGGGATAAAAGGTGAGAAATGACAGGATGGGTAGGTTGGGAAGGGTGTGTTTCGCAACAGATAGTTTTTTTTTAACTCTTCAGCAATCACACAATACCTAACGGAATTTCAAATGCGCTCATACATATTATTGTACAGATATATGAAAAATTGTTTGTAATGGGAAAAAGAATAAAGGAGACAATTGTCCTCATATATATTCCATAAATATATAACGATGGACATAATTATTGATTTTTTTGATTTAATGAATATATTCAGATATGATACTTACTAGCATTTTAAGTTGCTCGGGGGATTCATTCAAAGCAGGGATGTACTCCGCCCGTAGCCATCCCAGTTCCAGGCATTGTTTACACAATTGCTTCTGCACGACCTGTAAGGATCGATTATCGTCCACAGCCATTCCTGGGCAAACAAAATACGCTGTTCCTAAAACTTTGGATATTTTTTCTATTTCTTCACATTTGTCAGGATTAGAGGTACTAATTTCCTGTTTGAAAATCTGCCGAGCCATTGTAGCAATGCCAGAAACAATGTCGCTAGGAGATGGCTCCAGGCAGGGTTCAACCCCCCATTCGAGGAAGCTAATCGTGATACGATTTGAAGGAATCTCGATATCTAAAAGCCTCTTAGAGGAAGAAAATGGAGGAGGAGAATGAATAACATCTTTTTCAGCACTTCCATCCATCGTACTCGTGGAGTCTATGCCATCATCGAGAGGCGTTGTCATCGTTGTGTTCTTGTGTGTGGAGAGTGCAGTGCGGAGAGCCGTGAAGGTGCGCTGACATTCAACCTGATAGCAATCGCCGGAGGTAATAAATCGCCTCGAAAGGCCCTCAAAAACAACAAAAAGCCAATCTGGCGAGCCATGCGCTGCACAATACCGCCGAATCGACGTTGTTAGTGCGTTAATATAAGCTGTTTTTGTGGCGTAACTTCGTAGAAAGTGAAGATGTGGTATCGTTCGATGCGCAGCGAAGTAACTTGAATTTGTGAGAGCGTCAAAAGCAACGCCGGCATGCACTGAGCTGTATTGAGGATAAAGCGGCACCACCACAAGATGTTCCTCCTCCACGCACGCCGAGACCTCTTTATTATCTTTCACACTGGTATAATTTCCGAGAAAGTGAAAACGCTCCAGCGCAGCATCCAACGAGCGGGGCTGTGAAAAAAAGGCGACCTCGATCTGCAGCGAAATTTCACTGGACTGCAAAGGAGATATAGGACGAGGAACCAGATCTAGCATAAGCTTTTGAAGGTATCGAATAAGTAGAAGGAGGTGGTAAACACACACAGCTTGACCGTTCGATGTATTTTGAGGGGCATACCTACCTGTTTGCGATGAGGATGGCATGTATTTCGCCGAATGGCTGGATAAGATCCAAAAAGGGGAGTAGGAGCAGGTTTCATAAAAAGTCCGCCATGGAAGCACGAGCAAATAAAGAATAGGGTACCAAATCCAACGTGGGAGAGTGTCCACACGACGACGTGATTTCAGATGTTTCGCTAGAAAACACGCCACATTCCAATACGTTAACGAAAAAGGTGCTCCTTCATGAAGAAGTAATACAGCATAGCGTCTCTGTGCATTGTGTTCCGCTGGCAAAGAGAGTTGCTTTGACATAAAAGAAAGATAAGCTAGTAGTGGGGAGCGTTATAAACAAACAGGCCAAAAGGCTTTATTCTAAAGAAAACTTCTCCTTTCACACACTTTCGATCAGAACACGCCTGTTATTCGTCCTATATGTGTGAAAGTCGTCTTGATGATTTAGCAGGAAAAGAAATGGTTGAGGTTGCCATATTAACGACACTATCACACAGACACAAAAAACTGAATTGAGAGTCTTCTGTGATTGGTGACCTTTCAATAGGGAAGAAAACACGTTAGCTTTACTAACCTTTTTAGCACAATTATATTTAGAGATATAACGGAATAATGGCCCAAGAGATTTGACAAAAAAAGAAGGGGATGAGATCATTGTGCTCAACAACCCAGTGAAATTGCAGATCAAGAGTCAATAAACAGATCGTGTACTCCAAAATATCATCCTAAAGCCTGACGCCAACTTTTCTCAAGGCATACTCGTTTATATGGAAAGAAACTCGTGTACTTTACCATTAAAGGTTAAATTTGCTTTGTTAAAAAATAAAAGGTATAACCTCTTGTAAGAAAAGAAGAAAGGGGATATGTCTTGGATGAAAAAAAAAAGTTACACCTAAGTGTGGTTACTTGAAATCCACAATCTCCTTAATATCAAAGTACGGTGCAGTGTTTTTTGGTTCGAATACGCCTTTCTCCGTGATAAATCCCCCTGTGATAAGCTCTGAGGGGGTGATATCAAAAACCGGATTCCACACCTTTAAATTTGGTCCATCCGCCACCACACGCTGCTTTGTAATCATATTTGTTGTAATTTCCGCCGGATCGCGCTCCTCGATATTGACCTCCCCCCCGTTTGGCGTGTTTGGGTCAAGTGTGGTGGAAGGCGCCGCGACGTAGAACTTCACTCCGTGGTACTTCGCGGCGACGGCGAGGTGGTAGGTCCCGATCTTATTCGCCGTATCCCCATTCTGGCAGACGCGGTCGGCCCCGACGACAACGGCGTCGATCGTCGTCGTGCGCATCAGCGCGGCGGCGGCGCTATCACAGATCAGCGTGCACGGGATCCCCTCGCGCACGCACTCGTAGACCGTCAGCCGCGCGCCCTGGTTCC